TAAAGATGTGTTGCTGTTTTACCTGGCCTGCCTAATGAACCTGATTGGTTTAATAAAGAGCTGAATGGCCAATAGCTAGGCAGAAGAGGTTAGGCAGGACTTCCAAACAGAAGGAGGAACTTGGGACCAATCTAAGCTTGTGAGGGAGACACCAGCAAAACAAGGAGGGGCTTGGACATACAGAATGGAGGAGAGGTAAAAAGCCACATGGCAGAACTTAGATTAATAGAATCTGGTTAATTAAGTTATAAGAGCTAATTGGGAACAAGCCTAAACTAAAGACAATTCTTCCATAATTAATGATAGGTCTCCGTGTCATTATTTGGAAGTTGGTGGTCCCCTAAAGAAAGTCCAACAAGAAAGTCAAACTACATTTGATGTTCCATGTTGGGCGCTGGATAATACATTTATATAAGTCATTCTACTATCAATAAAAACTCAGGAATCAGAAACTGGGGTAAAAAAAAATCTGAAAGAGGGGGCTGGAGAGATGGCTCAGAGGTTAAGAACACTGACTGCTCTTCCGGAGGTCCTGAGTTCAATTCCCAGCAACCACATGGTGGCTCACAATCATCTGTAAAGAGATCTGGTGCCCTCTTCTGGCCTGCGGGCATGGAGGCTGAACACTGGGTACATAATAAATAAATAAGTCTTTAAAAAAAAATCTGAAAGATCCAAAGTGTGGTGAAAGAACAATCGGCTGATCTTACTCTCCATATTGAAAGGGCTGTGAATCTCTCTAAGCCTCTCCTGTGCCCCCCTATCTGGGTCCTCCAAAATCTCTATGACTAATTCCAGTCAACTGACTCCATCCTCTAATTCAAGTAGACTTTATTTTCAGTCTCAGAGTGTCAGTGTGAACAAATACCCCGCAACACCACACCCACCTGGGTTATCCCCACTCAGGGACGGAGATAGCCTGTCTTTTACCCTGATGTAGATGATGATGGTGGGAGTTTGACGACTTCTTTTCTGATTCCATTAGCTAAGCTGTACAATGGGAGGGAAAAGGCTCAGGAAATATGAATTATTGCTGGGGCTATCTTTGATAGAATCAAGTTTCTCCCTGGTCTTGGATAGGCAAGCACTGGGATTTCGTGTAGCATTATCATGTCTGAGAAGACACTAATTAGGGGGAAAGTGTGTGTGTGTGTGTGTTTGTGTGTGTGTGTGTGTGTGAGAGAGAGAGAGAGAGAGAGAGAGAGAGAGAGAGAGAGAAAGAAAAAGAGAGAGAACAACTTCTGGGAGTTCATTCTTTCCTAACAATTAGATTTTGGGGATTGGTAACAAACCCTTTTATTTACCGAGCCATCTTCCCACCCCTTCAGATGTCTTTCTCACCCTCAAGCACTTTTTAGTGCAGTATTTATGCATGACTCAATAGTATGTGTATTTGTGTTCCTTTACTTTTACAGGAGGTAATTATCAATGTGCCCTAATTCTAGCTCCCCCAGTGTGACCTCAGGCGTACACTCATAGTCCCTCTTACTATTTACCAAAGTCTTAGTCTTTATTTCTTCTCTGCTGTGCTGGATATTAAACCAAGGGCCTTGTACATTTGAGGCTTCATCATTAGGGATTCTCTGTGTGTGCATCAGGAATGGGAGCTTTACTTTGTAAACTTCATAATCAGTAAACCTCTTTTAAATTAACATTTTAAAAAAATATTTTATATGTATGGTTGTTTTGCCTACATGTCTTGCCTGTGTATCTCATGTGTGTAGTTCTGAAGATGCCAGAAGGGGGCATCAGATTCCCTGGAACTGGAATTGCAGATGGTTTTGAGACATCACATGGATGCTGGGGACCAACCTTGGGTCCTCTGCAAGGACAACCAGTGCTATTAAGCACTGGCCACCTCTCTAGTCTCTTTTAAACTTTTCATTAATTGTGTGTGTGTGTGTGTGTGTGCAGGCATGCGTGCTATGTGTGTGCAGGTGCCCAAGGTCAGAAAGGGGCATTGGTCATCTGGAACTCTAGTTACAGGCAGTTGTTAGTTATGTGGTGTAGGTGCGTGTGTGCTGAAGAGCAGCAAATCCTCTTAACCAGCAAGTTACATCTTTTGCCCCTTGTGCAGTGGTTCTCAATGTTGGGGTTGAATGGTCCTTTTAGAAGGGTCACTTAAGATCATCCTAAATATCAAATATTTACATTACGATTCATAACTAGCAAAATTACAGTTACAAAGTAGCAACATATAACTTCATGGTTGGGGATCACCACAACATGAGGAACTGTATTAAGGAGTTGCAGTGTTAGGGAGGTGGAGAAGCACTGCTCTAGTGTCTTTCTTTACTCAGGCCTCTGCTGGGCAGAGGCTCACTGTTAGTCAGCCCGCTAGTCAGAGCTACTCAGTTCCCTTGCTGCCAGCTTCTCACCAGTGCTACGCAGGTACAGAGAGGAAGATGGAGAAACAGCTTTTTCTCCTTTCATTCCCTTCTCTTGCATGGTTACAGTGGTTTTTCAGTAAATTTAAGAACTTTTAAGTGCTGTGTTTGAAAATTGTGGGAGGGGTTATCCTTCCCTTCTAATGTTAGAGGAAAAGCATTCAGTATTTTCTTATTGTTTTTTGATACAGGGTTTTTCTGTGTAGCCCTGGCTGTCCTGGATCTCACTCTTGAGGCCTAGGCTGACCTCAAACTCAGAGGTCTGCCTGCCTCTGCCTTCTGAGTGCTGGTACTAAAGGTGTGCGCCAACACCACCAGGCTCATGGTTTCCTTTTCTGTTCATGGTGGGGGGAGTCAGACCATTTTCTTGAGCGGCTTTGAGGTGAGGAGTGGTGGGGAGAGGACAATGAAGCGATAGCCCCAGCAGAACTGGAGCTCCCCAGCCTTGCTGTCACTGAACGTGGTATAATTTCTTTGTAGATGCTTTTTATGAAGTAGAAGAAAATTCCCTCTAATTTTAGTTTGATTTTTATTCCCTAAATGGGTGTTGGATTTTTTTCAAGTGCTTTTTCTGCATCAGACAGGCCTATTTCTGTGTGCTTATTTTCTACTGCACATACAAATTCCTTCCCAGAATGACTGCCATGAGGTCTTCCTACTTCCTTTTCACCTGTGCTCAAAATGGTTGACTGGAGCTGTTCAAAACAGACTAGCCGTGGAAACAGTGTGGTTTTCTGTGTTGAGTCTTTGTCTTGAAACACACCAACACTACGGTGAGGTTGAATTTCTTTCTCTTTCTTTCTTTCTTTCTTTCTCTTTCTTTCTCTTTCTTTCTTTCTTTCTTTCTTTCTTTCTTCCTTTCTTCCTTTCTTTCTTTTTCTTTTCCCGAGACAGGGATTTTATGTAGTCTTTTGGAGCCTGTCCTAGAACTTGCTTTGTAGACCAGGTTGGCCTCGAACTTACAGAGATCTGTTTGCCTCTACCTCTGCCTCCCAAGTGCTGGGATTAAAGGCATGTGCCACCAGTGGAATGCTGAATTTTAATTATTCTTGTCCAATGTCATTTTTCTTTTACTTTCTCCTCACCTTCTTCCATCAGTTTTTTTTTTTTTTTGATACACTGATAACTTTCTAGTCCATGATGGACTGGAACTCAGTATATAGCTCAGGCTAGTCTAAAATTTTGTTTATTATGTGTATGGGTGTTCTTCTATGTATGTCTGTGCCTAGTGTCACAGGAAGCCTGTAGAGGGGCATCCCCTGGTCACGGAGTTACAGTTGTGTACCATCATGTGAGTTCTGGGTATTGAACCTGGTCCTCTAGAAGGAAAACCAGCAGTGCTCTCAACTGCTGGATCATCTCTCTGGACCCTCAGTTCTATTTTTATTATCATTTCTAACCTGTGTCTTGAACTGATCTGCAGCCTTTGGGATCTCAGTCCTTAAACAAAACACAGAAATAACAAGTTAATATAAAGAGTGTGATTTGAAATGTGTTTCAAGGGTCTGTGCTCATTTGAGCTTAGTAATTTTCTTACCAAAATGGTTAAATAAGATTCCTTGTTACAGGTGATATTAGATGGTTTGATATACTAGTGTTAAGTCCAAAGCTACAGAGGATTTATACTGGGCCAGTTGTTTCAAGGTTTGATTACAGAGGTGGTTTATTTCCAAACCTCTTATGATTAATTAGCTTTGGAGAATGCTAGCTTCCTGGTAAAAGCAGTCTAAGGTCACGTGACAGAAACATGTTTTTTTTCATTAAAACCTATACATGCCTTTATTACCAGCACTTGGGAGGCAGAGCAGAAGCCTCAGAGTCACAGGGGCCTGGTCTGTACAGTGAGTTCCAGGCCAGTGAGGGCTACACAGCAAGAACCTGTCTCTAAAATAAGCAAATAAAAAGCTACAGACTAACAGACAACTCTTGCTTAAATCTACTCAGAAGTATACATTAAAATGCACTTATTTTAAATGTAGCAGTCCAGTTTGGGGGGTGAGGCTTTCTTACCAATTAAACAGAGGCCTGTTCAGAAGAATCGGTCCAATTAATAGACAGTTTGGTCAAAAGGGATTTTAAAAACATTTTCAAATAATATCTTTTACAATTTCTACTTAATTGTTAATGGTTTAAGAAAGGATACTCCTAGGGGCCGGAGAGATGGTTCAGTGGTTTAGAGCACTGGCCGTTCTTCCAGTTGAACAGTTCAATTCCCAGCACCCACACAGCAGCTCACAACTGTCTGTAACTCCAGTTCCAGGGGATCTGACACCTTCACACCAATACACATAAAATATAGTTAGATAAATTATTAAAAAAGGATACTCATTTCTTGAGTGATTAAGGGCAGTTGTAGCCTCAGCAACTTCAGTCCTTGAAGAAATGTTTTGAGAAGGAAGTTTGTGTAAGCACTATAGTTTTCAAATCAAACTGCCCGAGTTCAAGCTCTTAGCTTCTTTTAGCAGTTAGCCCACAGATGGGATGACCATGGACAAGGCATTAAGGTCTGCACTTCCATTACTTTTATTTACTAGTAGTGAAGCAAGCTAAAATGTTATAAAATTTTATCATTTTCATTTGACTTGAGTGAGGAATTCTCAGAATCAGAGCATCATGGCCTACACCTGTGGTGAAGGCGAGAGGACACCAAATTCAAGCTACACGGCAAGTTTAAAGTCACACTGTGCTACCTGAGGTATTGTCACAAAACAGAGCGAGACAAGGGAGATCACGCAGAAGTTAAAAACACTTGCTGTTCTTGCCGAGGACCTGGGTTTGGTTTCCAGACCCACCGGGCAGTTGTTAACTCCAGTTCAGGTGATCTGCTGCCCTCTCCTGGCCTCTGTAAGCATCCGGCATGCGTGCGGTCCACACACCTGTAGGCAAAACTCCTAAGTCCTTTAAAATAAAAGCAATATGTAGAACAAATAACTCTGTACATGAACAAACTGGCTTAGAGTTAATTGGGATAATGCACAAATATCTGCTCTGCAGGAATGTATAAAGCTAGTAACTAGGTTTCACGATGATCTTTTCCTGTAGCTTAAACTGACCTCAAGTCCTGTGTTAGAGGATGACCTTAAACTCCTGCCTTATCTCTACTTCCTAATTCGGTGTGGGCCTGTTCCACACCCCAGTGAGTGCAGGTACCCAGAGCACATAAGAGGGTGCAGATCCCTTAGAGGTGGAGTTAGTGTTGAGCCTTCCAACCCGAGTGCTGGGAACTCAACCTCAGGCTGAGGTTCTCTGGAGGAGCAGCAGTGCTCCTAAGCTTCTGAATCATCTTGCCCACTAACTTTTTTGAGAGGATTTTGTCATACAGCACAGGCTTGCCTGGAATTCGTTGCATTCCTGTTTATGACTGGGATTCCAGGCATGTGTGACCACACCCAGGCACCGTTACACTATAACTCCAAGGGATTGACTCTTGTAACTGTTTCAACATCAAGTTTAAAAAAAGTTATTCTTCAAAAGCGGATGATTACTTAGTTGACTACTCCTCCAAAACGCAAACATCAAAACACAAGACCGAACTGTACAGTCTCCAGATCCTCTCAAGAACGTGCATTCCTGATTAACAAAAGATTTGGAACTAGTGCAGGCGTCGAAAAAATCAGGTTCAGTTCCTCAAAGCCCTTTAAGAGTGGTGTGCACCGATCGAGGCCTGCTTCCGGATCCGCTGTGCCCCACCCCCCGCCCCCTCCAGCTGAGTACCGGGGGAGCAGCCGCCCTAACACGAAGGGACCTCTGGGCGCACCAGAGAGGTCGCGCGGGCCGGGTCCGCCTAGCGGAAATCCACTGGACCCAGCACCGCCCTCCCTGCCACGCGCCGGGCGGAACTCCAGCCGCCGCCACTCCCGGGGCTCGCAGGAAGAAACAGGGACGTTGAGGACGCAGGGCTGGCCGGAGCAGCAGCGCGTGGCAGGCGCGAGCTCTACCGCGCATGCTCCGCGCGCGGAGTTTCCCCGGCCCCGCCCCCTCCACGGTCGGCGAGACGCCGGGTCAGCCCGGCGAGCCCTTCC